TCTAACGCCTTGCATTACTTCCCTTGTATAATCATAAGGGATTTGATTTATGTCATACTTGAATGGTCTAGTAGTTTTCCATACTTTCTTCAGTTTAAGTCTGCATTTGGCAATAAGGAGTTCATGATCAGAGTCACCGTCAGCTCCCAGTCTTGTTTTTGCTGACTGTATAGAGCTGCTCCATCTTCGGCTGCAAAGAACATAATCAGTCTGATTCCAGTGTTGACCATCTGGTGATGTCCATGTGTAGAGTCTTCTCTTGTGTTGTGGGAAGAGGATGTTTGCTATGACCAGTGTGTTCTCTTGGCAAAACTCTGATAGCCTTTGCCCTGTTTCATTCTGTACTCCAAGGCCAAACCTACCTGTTACTTCAGGTATCTCTGTACTTCTTAGTTTTGCATTCCAGTCCCCTGTGATGACAAGGACATCTTTTTAAAAATTCTTTATGGTTTTTTTGTAGTAGGAAATTTTAAACTCTTATGTCTACCTTTTAAAGTTTCTCCTCTTTGTTAAGAATACTTAAAAGACATATCATCTTCTAAATTTTTTTGTAGAATGTGTCTCTGAGTTTTATAGATTTATGTTTATTGCACCTGGAATTTAAATTTTATATATAACTTAAGATAAAGATCTAATTTTTTGCCCGATGATAAGTTATCGCAGCTTGTTGAAATAAAATTTAGCCTTTGGCTTGTGTGTTTTCTTGCATGTTCTGGAATCACTGAGTTCTTTTTCTCTTTGCTCAGCTGTGTGTCTGTTCCCACGCCAGTGTTGTGTTGGTTTGTGTAGTGTCTTTTGTGTGTGTTCTGTTGTCCGGCCAGTGAAGTCCACTTCTGGTCTTCTCCTTTTGTTTCATTTTCTTGGAGGTTCTTGGCCTTCTTTTTTTTTCTAATTTTAAGTCCCTATTTTTAAACTTTAATTGTGGGGGGAGGCTTTTTCTCAATACAGCTATTTATAAGTGTTAGAAAAATGTTACTAGTATGATTGATGTATTTTTTTTCCTGTGTTTCTAGGTGTCTCCTGCTAAACTAGGGGAAATTTTTTTAATTAATTTAAAGTGTTGTGTCATACTTCTTAACAAAAAACTTCAACTTTTTTTTTACTAGAATAGCTTACATTTTTTAGGTATTCATTTAGATCATTAGCAAAAAGGTATATATTTCTCTTTCATTCCAGGATTTATTCCAGCTAATTCATTCTTATGTCTTATTAGTTTGCTATAATCTTCAAGTTAGTGTTGAATTACAAAGGGTTCAGTGGGCTCCTGCTCTTAATTCCTATTTTTATTAATTTGATTTCTTAACTGAGCAATAACATTCATATGGTTAAAATGATAGAGATGTGTGAGAACAGTCCCCTTCCCACCCGTTTCTGAATCTGTCCAGTTCTCACCCTGTACTTATACTAACCACCATTACTGGATTTCTTTCACAGATCAGATTTCTCTATGTGGAAAAACACACACATATATATAATATATATTTATTGTGTGTCCTGTGTAGCAGAACACTAAAACCATTTCAAATAAAATAAAGATTTTGATTTCTTTAATCCAAAGATTATCCAGTTCATCTTGTATTTTATAAGTAAAAATGTTTTTGCACATTTTTCTTAGTTTTTTATATTATGTGTCTCAGTTGAGGTAACTGAGAAAATATACTCTCTGAATTCTTGCATATTTGCAGTGTTTTTCTTATATAAAAATGCAAACTTTGTTGGTACAGAATTCTCTCAGTCATCTGTGAATGTTATTCAGCTCTTTCTCTTTTAAGTATCGTAGATGAGAAGTCCAATAAGTAGGTGATTTCTTTTTATCTTTTATAGCTTACTTTTTATAGGTAGGTGCTTAAATATGATCCAGCATCCCTAAACTTTTATCCCTGATACCTTTTAATATGTGTTTTCTTTTAGTATAACACTCTCCTTTTTTCAGTAATAAAGCATACATAATATAAAATTTACCATTTTAATGATTTTAAAGCAAACAGTTCATGACACTAAGTACAATAAACATTGTTGTACAACCATCACTGTCATCCATCTTCCAGAACTTTTTCTCATCTTCCCAAACTAAAACTTTGCACCATTAAACAGTAACTCTTCCTTACCCAGCCCCCCTTAAGAACCATTCTACTTTCTGCCTCTGAGTTTGAAGACTAAATATCTTGTAAAAGTGGAATTAGACAGTGTTTGACCTTTTGTGGCTGACTTCTTTCACTTAGTATAATGCCTTTGGGGTTCATCGATGTTAGCATGTCAGGATTTCCTTCTTTTTTAAGGCAGAATAATATTCTCTTATATGCATGTATCACATTTTGCTTAGCCATTCATCCATTGTTAGATATTTGTTTCCACCTTTTGGCTTTTGTGACTATGCTGCTATGAACTTGGGTGTCCAAATATATTTTTGAGTCCCTGCTTTCACTTCTGCGTATATACTTGGAATTGAAGTTGCAAATCTTCTGATAATTCTATGTTTAAATTTTTTAAGAAACCACCATACTATTTTACATAGCAGTACCCCCATTTTACATTTTTCATCAGAACACACAAAGGTTTTATTCTATCCACATCTGTGCCAATACTTGTTATTTTCTGTCTTTTTAAAAATTATAGCCATTCTAACGATGTGATTTTAATACACAGGTTTAATCTGTCAATTTAAAAAATCTGTCTCTTATACCAGAAACGCTCTATGTTATTGAACCTGGGAGCAGAGAGCTCACAGCAACTTGCTTGATCTTCTGTCCTTTGAATGCTTTATTTTTATGTATTAGTTCAAGTCCATTTATGTCTGGAATATAAATGACATAAATTCAGTGAGTTGCACTTATACAGGTCTGTATCTGTGTCTTAATCTGTTTCCTCATTTGTGAAATGAAGGTCTTTGGTGATCTATCCCCTAGGTTGTCTGATTCAATTGTGGTGGTATTCTCATATTTATAGAATTAAGATTGGAAATACTGTAAGGCATTTATGAGCCCTCCATAGACTGTGGAATTCCTCCCTTTCTACCTGTCTGTTCCTCATACATACATGTTAAAGGCCAACAAGACAGGTCTACTTAGTCCCTAAACATCCTTCATAATCTTTTTTAAACTGTTTCCTCTTCCTGATTTTTTCTTCCACTGATTCTCACCTCCCTTCACACTTTGATTTGGTGGAAGTCTTATTCTAAACTTCAAATAACAGCTGAGATCTCACTTAAAGTCTTCCCAGTTTTCTGTAACCAATTAATTTCTGAATTTCTGTGCTCATAAATCTTCTATTGTTAGTCTTATTACTTAATGCCTTTTATTGGAGGTGTGTGTATGTGTATGAAATTTTTATTTTACTCCCCCCCCCCCCGCCCCCGGCCATAGTTTAATAATCTCTTACACTGCTGGGACCATATCTTACTCACTTTATGACCTTGTTTCTATTTCAGGGCTAGTATTTAGTATATTTTAACTAAATTTGAGCAGGAGTGAAAAAAAAAATATATATATTGACCAATAATCAGTGTTGTGGCTTGTTGTTGGTGTTTTGTCTAGGAAATGCAATCAATAGTATTTTTAGGAGGTTTTCTTGTGTTTTATATCTGCCATGTAGGACCAGTATTTCTCACGTCAGCAAGAAAATTAACTACAGGAGGAACTTCCTTAAAGCTACAGTTTAGAATATGCAAATGTGAAAGGTTTCTAACTTTACTGTATACATTTCACATACATCATTAGTCACTGTTAGACACTTTGGTCTTGCTTAATATAATTCAGTGCTGAATGTGTATTTTAATGTGATAGTTTTTGACATCAACATTTTTGGCTTTCATCTAATTTTTAGTATTAACATGGAGTTAATGGAAATAGTTCCCTGTATATATTGTGGTTTGAAACTGCTAATAAGTGCAGTCAGTAATACATGATCTTTAGCTCCTAAACTGTAAATAGTAGATTTCATTTTTTGTTAAGATCTATGTCTGAATTGAACGGGGTCACAGCGTCTGAATGCTGAATAAAGCAGTAGAATGCTAATCAGAAGATAGAAGTACTGAACTTGCTCCATTATTAACTGAAGCCTGTTCAAGAATAGACATTGTTATTGGTGTCTTTTTAAAGTTAGTAGTAAAAGCCCCTGCTACTTGATAGTTTGTGAAGTACTTCATCACCACCATTTTTAAAATGTTTTAAGTTCTTGTAGCTTTTTGAAGTAGTTACCTATTACCTTTGTTTTATGATGTGAATTGAGACTCAAAGAAATTAAGTCACTGTAAGATTTGGCTAGCAGTAAAATAAATAATGGGCTTCCCTGGCAGCTCAATGGTAAATCGCAGCACCAATGCAGGAGACGTCGGTTTGATCCCTGGGTCAGGAAGATCGCCTAGAGAAGGAAATGACAGCCCACTCCAGTATTCTTGCCTGGGACGTCACATGGGTAGAGGAATCTGGCGGGGTAGAGGAACCTGGCGGGCTACAGTCGTGGGGTCACAAAGAGTCGGATGTGACTTAGCGACTAAACAGCAACAAAATAAATAATAAGCTTGGAACTACACCCCAGATTTTACCCCAGTTAAGACTATTAGCTTCAATCATGCTGTGGTATGTTTTTTGTTTATAGGATTCTACGTAAGTGCACTGCAGTTATTATCAACAAGTTATTCTGAATGTCACAGTATTGTGTGTATATATATATTCCATTTCATGTTTAAATCTTGGGTGGTATCTGGTAACAGATAAAGATAAACTTCAGGGATGATTTTCATTTTTCCAAGTGAGTAATTTGAAAGCTTTAAAAAGTATTTTTCTGTTTTTAAAATGTTCCTTCAAACAAATGTTTTATTTGAAAAAAAAAGTATTTTTTAAAAACTGATTATCTGATGTTAACTGTTAATCCTTAAATTATATAATTAAAATTTTTATTCAGTATTTAAAGGTGTTTCTGAATTTTCTGTCTTTTTTTCTGCAGAATGATAAATAACGCTGATCATCTCTAGCAAGGATATTGATTCACCTCATGTAAAGTATGCTCAGTTCCTTTCCAGTGGTGTGAGTATCTAGTTCTTCTCTTAACTTTTATCTTCTCTATTGTTTTAATAAAGTTAAGAAATCATTATATTATAGTACAAAAAGGATAGCAGGCAATTGTAGAGTTGAAATAATTTTTTCATAGTTATGTGGTAAGGAATGAATTTTCAGATCTGTATCACCTTTGTCTTTTACCATTTCTGTTTTCAACTTTGAAGTCTAACATAGATTTTTTCAGTTGAACATAAAATTACTTATAATTTTAAACCGCTTAATAGCCTAGAAATTTGTGAAACAGATGGCTAGTATTAAATTCCTTGTGACAAGCAGGATATTGGTAGAATGTTACTTTAGTGCTGCCTTTTGTATGCAAACTCATAAGCACGAATAGCTATTTTCTTTACCTACTGGGGATAATAAGCCTAGTTAAGCCTATTAGCTAATGCAGTTGGTAGCCTTTCTTTGGAGTCTGGTAAAAAATACAAATTGGATGGTGGTATTGAGAGTTTTTTTGTGCTAGGATATCAGCTGTAACCACTAGTTCATATTAAATAGGCCTCTGAACAAAAGTATTCCGGGAATTTCAGATATTAGAGAAGATAAAGTACCTATTAGCTCATTAAGTGCATCTTTAACGTAAGTATTTTTTAAAATTCGGTTCAGTCTACATTTCAATTAAATTCCTTCTGTATTGGTTGTCAGTTCTGTAATCCACTAAGCAGAATAATGATAGATTTTCCTTGTTACTAAGATTTTTTGTTAAACATTTTTCTTCTCTTGTTGACTTTATAGTATATCAGAAAGTCTCTGGAATAGACCAGGTGATGTGAACTGTGGCCTGAGATGCTGCTAAGCAGCTGTGTACTTGGGAAAGGGATGATATTCTGTTGCTTTGGGCCTAATTTTCCCTGTTTTAAAAAGTACAGTTTATTTGTTAATGGCTGTTCTCCATAGACATTAGAATGTAAACATTGTGAGGCTTTTTTTTTTTTAACCTTATTTTGCCTTATTTGTGCCTTGTTGCATTCTTTTTACTTTGTATGTAGTCTGACACACAGAGGTTATTCAGTAAATGTTGTTGTTTAGTCCCTAAATCATGTCTGACTCTTTGCAACCCCATGGACTGTAGTCTACCACGCCCCTCTATCCATGGGATTATCCTGGCAAGAATACTGGAGTGGCTTACCATTTCCTTCTCCAGGGAATCTTCCTGACCCAGGGATCAAACCTGCGTCTTCTGTATAGGCAGGCAGATTCTTTACCATTGAGCCACTGCCACTGGGGAAATCTCAGTAAATGTTAATTGAATTATTTTTGTCTAAATGGTCTCCTGTTCTCTGATTCCACACCTAATTTATATCTCCCTCTACAGACTTTCATGTTTTTACTTGGATTTTATTTTCCCCATTGTATATAGATGGTTGTTATTTAAAAATCTCAACCTTAATTTGTGATAATTTAAGATCTATTAAAGTATAATTATAAGTTCAATATAATCTTATTTTTCTCAAAATCAATATATTTTGAAAACACTTTTATGCTCTTACCTATAGTGATAGCCTTTGTTCTGTCAGTTCTCCCATTGGTTTGAGTTACAGAATCACTTTTCCATATTGTAAACTCAGTCCCCAGCAAATCTTCATTTCTTACTTACTCTTGTCATTTTCTTACTTTAAAACTGCCATTCCTTTGATGGTAATAATAGTTGTGAGAGTAATGTGCCACAAATAGTATGAAGAGCCTTTAGTATGTCTTTAGTTGGTTAATATTATGATTGACTCTATAATGTGTTAAATCATCATGGAATAAATACCATGAATGACAAAACTAATATATGACTGTACCATATTTTGCCTAGTCATTCTAGATAACAAGATAAAAACAGCAAAATCCAGCTCGAGAAAATACTGTTATCCAATAAAATCTTATTAGCTGTTGATGCTTTCCAAGTAAGGTGGTTGTGTCATTTTTGCACATATGATTCCAAGATTAGGCATTTGTGAATGCTTTAACCTTCTTTCCTCTGCATGTTTCTAGGGTTTAGTTAAAGTTTGTTCTGAACCTCAAGACTTATTCAAGAAGGGTTTACATATACAGGTAGAGATAAAATTAATTGTAAAAAGGGTTTACTATTATGGTCTTAATAGTATGGTATTTTAGAATGTCACTTTGTGAACTGAGTCATAATTCCTGAATTTAATTGTTCTTTTATGCTTTAAACATTGTCTGTGTTATTACAGTGTCGAAATTCTCCTCACATCATTTTCAATTATTATTGGCCTGAGTCTGCATTCAGATGAGTAATTTAAAGTGAAAGATGTTCCTTATCCTGTGAACAGTTCTTGTGTTATATAGGAAAATTAATTCAGCTTTTACATGTTATCTTTTTCTGTTGTAAAAGAATTGCTGGTATCATGGACTTAGATGACCTTTCTAGGTCATTATTGCCATAATCTCATGATGATGTGCTTAAACTAGGTGAATTGTAAGAAATAAAATTTGAAAATGACAGGATGTGTGCCTTTGTTTATGTTAATGTACATTGGAATATTGTTCTCAGTATCTAAGCGAGCTTCTAATCTTGGCATTTTCTCAATAAAATATTGTGCCTTCAGTGTCACATGTATGATTTGATCCTGCTCATTATCCCACCCTGCTCTAGGGCAGTCATATAGTTTGCTCTAGCAATTGTAGATCTTTTTACTTTAGGTATGTCTTTGTATTAGGGACCTCTCGGTGCAGGGCACATACATCTAATTTAAACAAAGTGAAGCATAAAGGGAAGTCTGTGTGAAGTTAAACTGCTTCCCTCTTGGCTCAGATGGTAAAGAGTCTGCCTTCAATGCAGAAGACCTGGGTTCAATCCCTGGGTCAGGAAGATCCCCTGGAGAAGGGGATAGGCCATCCATTCCAGTATTCTTGCTTGGAGAATCCCATGGACAGAGGAGCCTGGTAGGCTACAGTCCATGGGATTGCAGAGAGTTGGACATGACTGAGTGACTAACACTTTCACTTTCATGCTGTTGCACAACAATATAAGAAGAGGAGCAGGGATGTAGTAGGATCTTAGGAATGACTAGAACAACGAATGTGAATACTGTTAGAGTTTTCTGCTTTGCCCTGCATTTCTTATTATGCCTGCCTTATTTTCCTACAAACTAGCTCCTTCTACATGGTGAGGAATATACCAGACTAACATCTTCTTGCAGCTGACCACAGTTATAGTGACTGTCCATCTTCCTGCTACTCTAACCTGAATATTTTGAGAAGAGCAAGGCTGTTTCCTTGTGTGCCCACACTATTGGCCAGAAGGTAGGGCATTTTGAGTGGCAGGGCTTACCTGGTGGCTTGTATGGTAAAGATTTGCTTGCAGTGCAGGAGACCCAGGTTCAATCCCTGGGTCGGGAAGATTCCTTGGAGAAGGGAATGGGAACAACTCCATTATTCTTGCCTGGAGAATTCCATGGACAGAGGAGCCTGGCAGGCTGTAATCCATGGGGTCGCAAAGAGTTGGACATGACTTAGCTACTAACACTTCCACTTTTCACTTTCATCCTTTCCAAGAACGTGGTTGGAAACAGACATTCTAGGTGGACAAAATGATAGGTGCCTTCTTTTATCTTCTTTTAAGACTTTTGAATTAACCACTCTTAAAATGGGCTTCCGTAGGGAATTCCCTGGTGGTCCAGCCTTTAGGGCTCCATACTTTCACTGCAGAGGGCGTGAGTTTGATCCCTGATCAGGGAACCAAGGTCCCACAAACTATGCAGCATGGCAAAAAATAAAGTGGTTCCCATAGTCAGTGACTCTGAAATGACATAAACACATTGTTTTAGATACTGTGGAATCTTTAGTTCTGGTCGGTCTAATATAAGCTTTATAGTGGATATTTTTCAGTTAACAGATTAAATTCACGTAATTCATTTTAGTTGTATACTAATATACAGAGTGCTGCCCCATACAGAGAGAGGTTTGAAGAGTTACATATAGAATACTATTAGCTCTGATATAAATGGGATAGGAAAATATCATGGTTGATTTTTTTTTGTCTGCAAAGTGAAACAGTCCTTGAAATCTCATAGATAAGGTCTGTTTATGATGTATTTTGAAAGTATGAAGACTAAAGTTAGCAGTGAACAACTCCATTTTCAAGAGAAAAGAAGAGTTTACCAAATCAGTAAGTTAAAGGGTAAATTATTTGGATTACTAAGAGGATTTGGCAGCTACTTTTAAAAAGAACTTCCTGGGATTAAGAACTAATATGTTACTAAACACTAGAAAGGACCAAGGGCTGAGGGTTAAGATAAAACTGTAGTGTCAAGTGTCTCTTATAAGCCATTCAGAAAATGTTTACACAGCTTTTTCAACAAATTTTGAATATAATATGCCTACCGAAAAATGTACAAATCAGTAGTGTACAACCTGGTAAATGTTCACATATTATGCACCTATATAACGTAACTAGCATGAAACAAAACATTACCAATACTGCATGTTATTTTAATAGTAGGCATTTGTGTTAAGCAAGGTATACTCTTCTGTTGACATTAGTCAGGAGAAAAAATAAATGAATTACTCTGGTTGAAAGTTTTGTTTTTTTCTCTCTCACCCAACTAGTCAGTGATAGATTATGGGTTGGGGATGGGGGAGGGCAGATATATGAAGCTGACATGGAAGTTAGTAGAGTAGTACACCTGTAATAGGCAGAGCTTTAGAATAGCTTGTAATTGGCATTCCAAGCGTCTGAAATAGAATGGCCAAACAAACCTGTGGTATATTCCTACGATAAAGTACTCTTCAGCAATAAAAAATCATAAACTGCTGATACATACAACATCATAGATGAATCTCAAAAACTTTATACTGAAAGAGGCCTTACACAAAAGAGTACATAGGCATTCCCTTTGTATGAGGTTCTGGAACAGAAAAAATTAACCTCTGTCATGAGAAAAAATCTGAGCAGCGGTCGCCTCTGAGGAGAGAGAATGGGGACTGACCAGGAAGGAGCACTAGGGAACTTCCTGGGGTGAGGGTAATATTCTGTATCTTCCGAGGGATTTAATTTCACAGGTGGATGTACTTCTCAGAACTCAAGGAATGGTGAATGTAAGATTTGCATATTTTATTTTATGTAAATTTTACTTCAATAGAAAAAAGTACCTGAACAAATACTGAGCTCTAGCTAATGATCTCCATGTGGAAGGATTTAAGGAGAGGTGTACAGATGTCTGTAACTGATTTTGAAATGCATCAAAAAATGAATAGAGGGATGGATGCCTAGAGCATGGATAGATTATGTGGTAAAGCAAGTAAAATACTTAATGGTAAAATCTCGATGATTAGTGTATAGGCATTCACTGTCAGCTTTTTTTTCACCTTTTCTATGGGTTTAAAATTTTTCATTATAAAATCTTGGAGGAAGAAAACAATGAGGAAAGAATGTAATAATCATGAAGACAGGATTTTTATGATGAATAGCTTGTCACAAATGAATATTGGAAGAGAGCAAAAGAAAATGTGAATAGGCAGAAGGCAGACAGTGTGGCCCATGGGGACAAACAACCTGCAGCATATTATTTTAGGCCCATAGAATGCCTGTTTTTAATGAGCTGATCTCTAAAACTAGAATGACTTCACATAAAAACTATAGATTTCTGCCTGCTTTTTTAAAAAAGGACTTGGAAGACAAAACAGTCACTCCAAAGGTAGATACAGATTTGTGTGGAGTTTTTATATATGATAAAAGACCAGAGAGGAAGAGATGTACTACTTGATAAAGCATATTGGACAAGTGAACTATCCTTTTGGGGAAAAATAAAGCTCAAATCCTTTGATACTCATTAAGTAAATACAAATTCTATATGGACTAAAGATTTTAAATATAAAAAAAAAGCTGTTACTAGAACCCCTAGTCCCTCAGTGGAGTGGTTTTGTCTAAGTGGTTTAAACTGGAAACTTAAAAAAGGGCAAAAGTCTGTGTCCCATATCATTTGATTCCAGTAATTTCTGCCATATATGCATGCTTTTGGAGTCAGTAAGATCTAGGTTTAAATCTTTTTTCCTATGTCTTAATGAAACTTTTTCCAAGATACAAACCATTGTGAGCTTTAGTTTCCTCAACAGTCAGTCAGTGCAGTACTAAAAAAAAAAAAAAAAATTACCATTCAGTGTTGTGAGGAACTGAGCTTGTATGACATGAAACTCTTGCCCAGTGCTGACCTAGAGTGAATATTCAATAAATTTTTATAGAGGGATATGTGTGTGTGTGTGTGTGTTAGTCACTTAGTCATGTCCAACTCTATGTGACCCCATGGACTGTAGCCCACCAAGCTCCTCTGTCCATGGAATTCTCCAGCCGAGAATACTGGAGTAGGTTGCCATTCCCTTCTCCACGGGATCTTCCTGACCCAGGGATCGAACCCAGATCTCCTGCATTGCAGACAGACTCTCTACCCTTGGAGCCACCAGGGAAGCCTCTTATAGAGGGATAGAGAAACTGATCTCCAAGAGCTTAGAACTGACTCAGAGTAGAAGTTTACCTGGAAAGGATGAGAACGTTCTTTGACATTTATTTTCATCAGCAAACACTTACTGAGAGCCTGCTGCATGCCATGCAACCTATTTGGCACTAGAACCATAAAAATAGAAGAAACTCCCACTTAAAAGAATCTTTAGTACGAAAGTCAAGTTTTATAAGAAAGGAATTCGAATGGTGAGAATTTTTATGGTATTTGACAATTCCCTTAAACTTAGTATTGTCATTGACTCTGAGGCATTTTCTGGTGCACTACAGTACCTTGTGTTAGTTAAAGGAAGCATGATATGGGAGCCATTTCCTACGAAAAATGAATAGTTCATTGTGGACACACCACTCAAGATCCATTTCTTGAGATAACTATATAGAAAGAATACCTTACAGAAATGAAATACTCATGAAATTGCAAAGTGGTGGGTGAAATGGTGCTTATTAAGTTTTTTTATGTGCCCCTCTCATGTTTCCATTTAAATATTTTTGCTAGTTGTAAGTTATTTACTTGGGCTAAGCTTACCAAATTGTTTTTGTCTATGCCAAATAAAAGTTACAAAATTTACAGGTCAGTTTTGCCTATAAAACAAAATGTTACCCTTAATCATGTCTTAGTCATTTTCAGTAAAGACATTGATAGAGAAATATTTTGTCTGTGTTCATTCTCAATACATAATGATGCATTCTTTGGTAGATATTATAAATAAAGGGACTATTTTATTTTATTTTTTTTAGTTTGCTGGAAACCATGTCTCACTATACAGATGAACCCAGATTTACCATAGAGCAGATAGATCTGCTCCAGCGCCTCCGGCGTACTGGAATGACTAAACATGAAATTCTCCATGCCTTGGAAACTCTGGACCGCCTTGATCAAGAGCATAGCGACAAGTTTGGAAGAAGGTCCAGTTATGGAGGAAGTTCGTATGGGAATAGTACCAACAATGTTCCAGCATCTTCCTCTACAGCTACAGCTTCCACGCAGACCCAGCATTCGGGCATGTCCCCGTCACCTAGCAATAGTTACGACACCTCCCCACAGCCTTGTACTACCAATCAGAACGGGAGGGAGAATAACGAGCGATTATCCACGTCCAATGGGAAGATGTCACCAACTCGCTACCATGCCAACAGCATGGGTCAGAGGTCATACAGTTTCGAAGCCTCAGAAGAGGACCTAGATGTAGATGATAAAGTGGAGGAATTAATGAGGTTAGTTTCTTTCTTATTTAGAGTCCTCCAAATATCTATGTGCTTAGACTGATTTTGAGTAATAAAGCTGTATTTCAGCTCTTTACAAATGAGAACTTCCCCTTAGGTGATAAAGAAAACAATTAAAATTTTTATGTTTTTAATTCAAAAATTTTTTTCTCTACCTAAGTTCTTTCTCTTTGCTGCTTTATAAGTCTTTTCCATTCTGCTATCTAAGCAAAGGTTAGCCTTCTCTATGGCTCTAATTTCTAACATCTGAATTTTATGAGTTGCTAACAAATACGCTGTAAGCCTTAAATGCATTGTAAGTACTTTCTCTGAGAGGTAGGATGTTTTTGTAATAATATGTATACTCTTTAATTTTTCCCTCCAACACGCCAATTGACAAACTAATTTTGAGCATCTATTATTTAAAAAGCAGTGTTCTTAAGAAAAATAGACATGGTTTCTGTTCCTAAGAAACTGAAGTTCTGATTTTCGCAGTAGATGCTGTATACACACACACACACACACACAAATTTAATGTCATCTATTACAAGATAAGTGTAAGCATCTTGAGTTTGAAACCCTGAAGAAGTCCAGTTTCAACAGAGGTAATTAAAGGGCTTCACCCTGAAGCTGAGGGACTTTGAGGGCAGCACTGCCGTGCTTCCCGTTCTTGTGTCTCCAGGATCTAGAGCTGTCCTTGGCACATGTTAAGGGCTTATTATGTCAAGTGAATGAATGACTTTGAGCTAAACGTTAAAGGATAGCTTCTGTTTTGAAATATAGGAAGTTTGTTTAAAGTTAAGGTAGAAAAGGCAAGACATATTTAGTCTTCTAAGAACTGCAGATTGGCTATATATGGTGATAAGAATAGTATATTGGGCGGGCAGTACAGGTTTGGGGGAGATTTGAATTCCATGTACGTGATTTTATGTTTAACATGGTAGAAATTAAAGGATTTTTTTTAGAGGTCTATAGGAAAGAGATAAAAGCATTTTCGGTAGATTAGCACTGCTGTTGTAGGGAGGAGAGCCTGCAGATAGATTCGTTGTGGTTTATATGAAAGAAACTGGAGCAGGAATATGTCAGAAGTAAAATTTTAACCTATAATTATGAGTTGTAGTTCTTCTATAAGACTGTAGGAGTTTAAGATAGTATAATGGTGACTTAATATTGCCATCTGAAAGGTCTGTAGTACCACAAAGGTAAAATAATCTTTTGAACAAACTGTCCTGAATTTACATTTAGGGTGGAACTGCCATATAGGGAATTCTGGGCTAAATAGACTGTTGTATCTAGATTCCAATGTAATTACTATAATGAATGGTTTCATAGAGAACCTACAGGACCTGTTATTTAAGCTTTGTAAAACTTAAAAGTATAAAACATCAGTGTGGCTTTTCATTCATTTTCCTTGCTTAAACAACTGGCCGAAGTTTATATGTTCATTTTGAATTTAACATCTACATCACTGTCAAGATTGAGAGAGAGGATCATTTGGGCAAATGGAAGTTACTTTAATAGTTAACATGTGACAAGGTTAGTTTTTAATTACCCTAAGCAGAGTGGGTATCAACAATAAAATTTGTTAGGATGCTAGCCTTTTTGTTGTTGTTGTTGCTGTAATTAATCAGTTTTAGTGAACTTTAAAAGCATTAGTTAATTCCCAGATGTGTTTTAGACTAATGGGAAGTTTGGGAAAAGTTTATTTTTAACAAGTCTCTGGAAGGTTGTCCAGAGTCTGAAACTTGAGTATAATGGTCTAAAAGCTTGACAACAGGGTTTGTGGTTAAATCCAGCAAGAACAGACATTCAAGTTTCATCATTAGATATGTGTGTGTGTTTGTAATTGTTACCAACACTTAGTTTACATACCGCCCCTTGTTGCATAGGTGGGCTATTTTATGACTTCTTTCTTAGAACTGCTCCTGTGCTGGCCTCTGATCATCTAGCGGTCTCATTGATCCTTCCGGCGCTCTGTGGTCCTGTGCCGTTGCACCCTCACCCACACCTTCACTCTTCCTTTGTGCCCATCTCCCATTTTTCTCAAGTTTACAAATAATCACAGCCCTCAGGTTTGAGGGAGAAGTTTTTTTGCATGACTGTTTCACTTTTAATTATCACAACCATGCTATATGTGAGGTAGAACAGAGATATTAAGATACACAAAAATAACTTGACCCAAGAAAACTTAAGTGGCAGAGCTCAATTCTAACCCATGTCTTTATTACCAGTGTGTCTGTCACTGGTATCTGTTATCTCTGTAAATACATTTTTCTTGTGTGTAGATTTAAGTAAAATTTTAGGAATGATCATTAATATAACTCAAGACAAAGTGTGAAAGCCTTAATGTACTTATCCTCCACTCTCCCCCCAAGTGATATTTGTCACTTCAAGTCAGTCCCTTGGGTAGCTGAATGAATTTTTACTTGGTCGAATGTCAGAGAATGAGTTTTGAGCAGTGAATCTTTCTGAGTACGCTGTGCCCACATAGGCCTCCACTCCCCTTTGCCCACTCCACACTCTGATGATGCAGAGGGCTGTACTCTAGGTAGGGAGAATGGATACCTAAATGCCTTCCTGCTTCCTTTCCTACATAGGTCACATGTAATTCACTCTCATGCTTACGTTAGCCAGCCTCCAGAGCACTCAACTGTAAGATTTAGCTTTCAAATCTCATAATCCAGTGGGTCCACAAACTGAACTCCTAAAAATTTTAAAGTATACAAAAGAGGATTTTTTTAAATTTGATTAATTTGAAAGAAAGTAACTGCTACTTTGTCCATTTTTGGATTGATCAGGGTTTTGAAAAAATCAAAGGGAAACTAGAATGTGGATTCTCAATAAATTGTTTAGTATAACATTTTAGGAAGGACTTTAAAACCAAGAGCTAGGATAAAGACCGATTTTACATGTTAATATTTTTGAAATGCATCTATTAGTATATATGTTTATATATAGGTGTATATGTATATCTGTTAATGGTGTATATCTATTAAAGTGTATTATCCTACTGTGTATGTATAAAATAACAATTGAAATCAGGCTTATCAGAATTAATTTGTCATATAAAAGATGTTATTTCTGACTACCCACATACTAAATTTCATGAGTGTTTAGTATTTTATCTAGGATTCTGAGACATTATTCCGAGTTGGTTATCTATATGCCTAATAGATTATTTACTTGTGTAGGTAGGGATTTATGTTCTATAGGACATAGTATTCAGTTACCATGTTGTTTATACATAGAGTAGATTTTGTTTTAACATTATCTTGTAAGCTTCTAAATTATGCTTTATCTCCATGAGTAGAAATTAAAGGGAGCAGCTTCCTATTCATGTGTGAAAGAATTGTGTGTAGTTATGTTTTTCCACCAGTGAAATACTCTGTATTGGTAGGTATTGCTCCACCTCTGAAAGTCTTGAGATAGATGACTACTTTTAAGAGGTCTTAAAGATTGTGTAGTGTATATCAACTAAGAGAATTTGGAAGATCCTAAAACATGCAACTTTTAAACATTCAGTCTTTAATAGCCTGTGTTCCAGAAAAGAAGGCATTACCATTTTGGGCTAGTATACATAACTCTCTTCCATTCTGTTTTGGGAAGCTTAAACATATTTAACATTAGGAATTTAGAGCTCTTTTTAATAAATTATTTACATCAGGTTTTCCATTTTACAACCTTTTATCTTTAACTACAGATTTGTTCATTTATGGAGCAAATTAAGCTCTAATATATGCAAACTCCGTAATGAATAAGACACAATCTTTGTGCTCAGGGACTTTGCTAGTAGAGATAAGACCAGATCAGGAACTACTGTAATACAGAATCACATGTAATATATTGGTATGTATATTTGAAATGGTTAAAGTTAGCTATTAGAGGAAACTATCTTTTTTAGCTCTGAGGATCAGCGAGAACTCTGATTAGATGGTGATTATTATTTTAAGGTGTCTTTTAAAAAGGGTGCCTTCATGAAGAGGCATTACTGAGTGTATCTAAGTGATTAGATCGAAGTAGAGTGGTAGCTTATCTTAGAAGTAAACTATGGAATCAAGGAAAGATCAGCCTACACTTCACCTGAACTCCATAAGACTGGAGGAGGAGAAATCATGAGGAGAGTGAGAGTTTGTAAGGGTGGAAAAGTGGATACATTGTTTTTAAAGATGTCCAATTTTAGAGGAAATAAGACATAAGAGATGAGACAAATTTGGAGTAAATGAAGGAATTTTCACACCAAGAAATCAGTAATTTCATAGGATATGATGTGGACATTAGGAGTGGCAGGTCGTTTGTTCAAGAAGGTGGAAAGAATGAGGGAGAATATGTGAAAGCTTAGAGAACAAATTTAACCCAGTAGGGTGGAAGTTTTTGAAATAACAGAACTGAACACAGTGAAAGTTAAATGCTGTTACTATTTTGGAAATACCTAGTGAAACCAACTAAATGACAAAACACTTGCATCTAAAATGACTTTATAGAAATCTTTTCATGGTGCCTTAAAATATCCAATACAGATGTTAACTTCAACCTTACGTACTTATACTAGATCATTTGTTTCTTTTTTTCCTTGAGTTCTCTCTGGCATATTATAAAATGATAGTCATTGTTTATATAATGCTTTTACAGTTTCAAAAAGTCTTACACTGAAGAATTTTAAAATTTTATATATTATGTACACACATTTGATAATAATTTTCATTTAATTTTAATTTCAGTGCTTGGAGAAAAATCTTTAAAGCCTTGTGATGGGGTAGGGGACATGTTACTCTTCTTATTTTACCAGATGATGAAACCAACTTTATTACATGACTTGCCCAAGCACACCCTTTATCTTCTAAGTTTTGTTTTTCTTCAGTTTGAAAAAGCTTCTTTCTGGTAAAGCAGTTGAGTAAAGAGGTTTTTGTTTTTAGTTTTTTTAACTCATTATGGATATTTAGAAACTTCCCACATATCTAAAAATAGAAGCTCTCAGAGGGTTAAGTGAACTTCTGCTCCTTTGCAGACTTTTGGGGTTCCTTCTGTCTTGCTGCAGTGCTTGGTAATATCATACTGCAGGGCTGTGAATAATTCACAAACTGGATGTGCCCTGTTGGAATAATTGAGTGTTATCTCCTCCTTATGACTCAGTCTCTACTTGAGGAGAAATTGATTTTAAATAAATTGATTTAGATTCCAATTTAAATCAGTAGTCAGGAAAATAATATTTAATCATTTTCCCCACAAAAGCATATTTTTATTTAACCTTACTAGAAACCCTCTTAAATTCAGTTTTCATTTCCCTAGAAGGACATTCTGTACATTGGAATGCAACGCTTTACTTAAATTTTTTCAGCTTAATTTTGCATCTGTATGAGAAACCAAACAATTTGGTTGTTCTGTTTACATAAACCGGTTGAAATAGCTACTGCTGAAGTTTATCTCTTGCTCTACTGACTGTTGTTGGATATTTAAGAGCCAGATGGTAATGTAGATGGGTATTTTGACCTTTAAATGTATTGTGTCCTTTTCTTTCAGATACATAATTTCAAAATACAAATGCATATTTTTCAAAGAAATGTTTCCAGTATAAATAAGCATTTTGGAAGGAATTTGGCCAATATCTAGATTAGTACGAGAAGCTTTAAGTACTGGATTAGGCTGCTGATTCTTTATTTTCTTCCTCTGGGAATCTTTTTGATTAGGATTTCCAACCAGTGGATGAAGAGTAGACTGTGGAGCTCCAGATTGGAAGCTGTCCCTACCATCACTTCTCTGCTCTTTTCCAGAATTCCTGAAAGGGAACATGAAATTCACCAACAGAACACTTAGCTCCTCCTCAGCAAAGGACTGCCAGTCTGCTCGAGTAAATCACTGCTGATTCTTTGGGAATAGGATACTTTACTTTTTTCATTCCAGATAATCTGTAGAGAGACTTGAGCTCCAGTCAGAAGTCTGTGATTCACAAAGCAATTTATAAAGATTTCACGTTCCCTTTGTCTGAGATCAGGAGTCCACAGAGTTTTTCTGTAAAGAGATGGAAAACATTTTATACTTTGTGGTTAAGAAGCCAAATCAAGGACATGATATAGATACTTACAAGAGAGAAAGCAAATGATCACAAATTTTTATTTGCAAAATTCAATATAGAATAATAATTGATCATCAAATACCGTCTTTAAGATACAGGCCTATAGAGAATAATAGAATTTTTTGGTGAGGAGGGGATAATATTTTGCCTGATTCATGTTCAAAGTTAGTATTCCCTGTCATCAAATTGATTGCAAATGTTCATCTGTGGAAACTACTCTTAGCTCACAGGTTATATGAAAACAGATGGGAGGCCAAATTTATTCTAGGGCCATAGTTTGCTGATCACCTGCATTAGACCATAAGTTACCACTATTTAGTTACTTTTGAGCTTGAACAAAAAATCCATTTGTATGATTCTTTTGAACATTCGAAGAGAAATTGATTAGTTTTAAGGCTTTAGGTATAATTTTCACTGAAGTATTATCTTTGTCCTGGTAGAGAAACCGTCTTCCCATTCATTGTCATTCTAGTGAATGTCTAGTCTTTTTGAGAATTTCTTGAACTTTTAAATAAAAGTAAAAATTCATAAGAGTCTTAGTGGAGGAAAAATTAGGTCTATGATATGTAATGTCAAGGACATAGAATATAGTATAGTTTTAAGTATCTTGTGTATTACATGTATTAGGACATTAATGTGTCTTTTATACTAGAATTTTATATTCAGCCCACCCTGCCTAAAATTTTTTTGGTTTGTTAAGGACAAAGAAGGCAAATTAAAAGGCAAAAAAGCACCTTAAAATGGCCAGCATTTTAGCGGTCGTGAGAATGATGATTTCTGTTCCTTTGACAAAGGTTTTCAAATGAACTAAACGTGATTTATGCAGTTGCATAGTTAACATGCAAAACCACAATCTACTCACAACTGATTTTTGTTGTTGTTGTTGCTGCTTTTTATTTTTCTAGGATTTCTGTCTGTATAAGATACATTCATTCCCCAGTAATGAAAATTTGCATATACCATATGGCAGCTTGTTCCTAATGTGAATTATACACAGCATGCGATTAACCATCTCTGGTATGAGACTTACATCTACTGTGGCATTCACTAAAGCGTCTGTCTGATGGTGTGCTGTTTTAGGACTTGAATATTTGGTGTTTCTTGGTTTGTTTTAATTTCATATTTTCCCACAAGCTTGGTCTGTTTTACCTTTATTTTTGTGTCCTTTCTTTCTGTGTTCTCCCCACCTCTCTGCTTCACCTTTCTTAGCAAAGATGAGGATTTCTACCTTCAACATACATTGTTGGTCTTGTCTTCTGTTTTTGTTAGGAGGGACAGCAGTGTGATAAAAGAGGAAATCAAAGCCTTTCTTGCCAATCGGAGGATTTCCCAAGCAGTTGTTGCACAGGTAACAGGTAAGAGCTGAAGAGCCCTTTATTCTGGAATCTTGTCTAGTCTCTGCCTTCTAGTGCAGATGTTGGAATATTGCTTGCATTTCTGCATTGCAGTGCAGATCTGTCAACTTAGGCATAATAATGTATGCCTGTGATTTAAAACCCATTGTCTCCGATATCTTGGAACTTCTCCAGTGATTTTTTTTTTATCTTGTGCTAGTAAATTTTATAGCATTTGTAATAAGCACAAAATTCCCTATTTTATGAGTAAAAAGGATTCTCTGGTTTTCTTGTAATTGTGACAGAGCTTATGACACATGCACATCCAACTGCTTTCTACATTTCATATTTTTAAAAGCTTTACAGTCCTCCAAATCTACTTGATTTTACCAATTAAAAAAAAGATTCATGGGAGTGAAGGAAGTTGTGTTTTTTAACCACTTTTCCATATGTGAAAGAAAATGTATATTCTCAAACCATTACTGAGAAGATAAGAATTACCAGTGTTTTCTCCCTATTTTTTTTATATCCCATCCCATTACTCAACCAACAGCAGCCCCATCCTGAGTATGTGGTGTATATGTGTCATTCTCTATTCAGATTGCATTTTTTATGAAGTTCTTAAATTTGGGGGTAGCATGTCTTTTCTTTGTTGGTCTGTAGTCTTCTTTTTTCGGGTATCAGTAATTTCTAAGAGCTTAGTAAAATCAGCTATGTCTTAGTCATGAGAGGAACCAGAAACTCTTTCAACTACATACATGTTGTAGTTGATATATTGTTGTGTGTTGTATATTAACAGATACAAAAAATAATTTGTTCCTCCCCTTCTTTTTTTTTTAACATTCCAGTAGCAACTCTGAGACTTTGGCCTTTTTAGCCTTTGCACCTCAGTTTCTTCTGTTAATACATTGAAATAGTTGAATCTGGTCTTCAACAACACCTTCCAATTTTAAGATGTTATTTCTGTTCTCTAGACTTTGATACATTTTCCTCAAACATTGTTACTGACCATTTGGTTAAAAATGAAAGGAGATTTTGGAAGTCTTAAATTTCACCCCAAGAATCTAAGGTCACCTAGTCTTAATATGTGTGTAACATATTACACTAGTAAAGTATTTTTATAAATGATACTTCTGTTCATGGTTTTAAAAAAAAGTTAAAGGCATGTCCCTTCCTCTAGAACTATTTATGAATCTAATTTTTGTAATCTTCAGTTTTTCAATAGGATGCTTAAAATGTTACTTTTATCTTCAGGGATTAAGGTGTGGTGCTAAGGGCATTGTAAGGGCAGGTTAGGTGGGTTTTACCAAAACCCACTGATGTGCACTGTGGAAAGATCAGTTGTCTCTCAGGACTTTTAATTCAGCCCCCAAGATTAGACGCAATAGTATCTTCTAGTCTGCCAGCCTAAAAAAGAAAAAAAAGACAAAACTATAGTGTTATAAGCAGCATGATAAAGTTGATTTTGCCCAAGTGGAAATATTTCTGAATTTCTTGAATACCCTGAATCTTGAATCATCTTGGACCTTTAAAATAGTGTCTTTTGAAACCCATCAGATGTTGATGAAAATTATAATACAGTACCTCTAAAAGGAATTTCTTGGACATATCTGAGGCATTAGCTATACCATACATCAAATACTGCCTTTTTCGAAAGGGAAATTAAAGATGTTTTAGCATCTTGCTATTCAAAATATAGTCCATGGGATAGCAGTATTGGGGAATTCTTAGAAATGTACCACCCTAAGCCTACTAATGGAGAAGGCAATGACAACCCACTCCAGTACTCTTGCCTGGAAAATTCTATGGACGGAGGAGCCTGGTGGGCTGCAGTCCATGGGGTCTGCATGTCTGAGTCGCAAAGAGCCGGACACGACTGAGCGACTTCAATTTCACTTTTCACTTTCACGCATTGGAAAAGGAAATGGCAACCCACTCCAGTGTTCTTGCCTGAAGAATCCCAGGTACGGCGGAGCTTAGAGGGCTGCCGTCTATGGGGTCACACAGAGTCGGACATGACTGACATGACTTAGCAGTAGCAGCAGCAAACCTACTGAATCAGAAGTTACATTTTAACCAGATCGCCAGGTGATTTGTGATGAGAAGTAGTATTCTAGGAAACTAGTGAGCTTTCCTGATATTAACTGCCATGGATTCACATTGTCTAGCATTGTCTCAGTCAGTGGCAGTCGTCATGATGCCATCTCTTGTTTTCGAAAGCAAGAGTTGAAATTTTTCCATGTGTTATCTGTTAGAACACATGGACTTTTGCCACTGTAATCATAGGATTTGGTACCATTAAAAACTTCTTCCCCTCATTTCTGCCTCATCCCAAATTGTTCTTCCTCCTCTTCATTCCTAGTCAAAACTTGGGTTCATTCATGTATCTTTGGTTCTCCATTGTATGGAAAATGAAGTTCTTTATAATCTACTCCAGCCTGCTGTTTATAGCCATCTTGTTTTCAGTATCCTTGCTAGCTGGATTTAGCTACTTGCCATTTCTGTATCTTCACCTGGATGCTCACTAGTCATTGACTGTGCCTAGCTTGCCTTCATCTGCTCACCCTGGTCTTAACAATTCCTGTTAATCAATGTTGTTGTTGCTGAGTGATGTCTGACTCTTTGTGACCCCGTAGGCTATCTCCCGCCAGGCTCCTCTGTCTGTGGGATTTCCCAGGCAAGAATAATGGAGTGGGTTGCCATTTCCTTCTCCAGAGGATCTTCCCGACCCAGGGATTGAACTGGAGTCTCTTGCATTGGCAGGCAGATTCTTTACCACTGAACCACCAGGGAACCTTTTATCAATTACTTCTGTTACTATCCTCATTCTGACTTCTTTGATCACTGTAGCCCATGTAGACCTCTCTTTTCTGCCTGAAATTAACACTTAGTTTACCACCCTGAGAGGTTAAATTTCATTTCAGTTCTGCATTTTAGAGTAGTAGTCTTTAAAAGCAGAGATCTTTATACATTCTCAAAGAGTCTAGCATTGCACATACTCTGAAGATCTCACGTTTCCCTAGAAAAGGAGTACTAGTGAAGCTAACACAAGGTATACATGTGAAAATTTATCCAGTGTGACTTTCTCCAGTGATGTCTCCCCTCTGGAAATACTTATTTGCTCAACAAACACAGTATGAATTTCTTCCCTTAAGGGATTTGCTTTTTTTTTTATCTACTTTAATTCAATTGTTTATGTTAGGCAGGGGATTGAGGATGATTTATAACCAGATTGGTTCATTGTCCCTTTGGTCTGTTTACTGAATTCATGTATTTCTCATGTATATCTATGTCACATTTCCACCCAGCCTGTCTAACCATCCAACTAAACTCAGGAGCAATACTTTTCGTTCCAGAAGAGAGATCCAGCTAGAGAATAGTGAGTGAGTGAGAACTAGTGTAAAGCTTAGCCCTCATAACTGACACAGCTAGGATAAAGAAGCCAAAGTTAGGAAGGCTTCTAGGCACTTGGGGCTCACTCACTGGGGCACCTGATTAGTATATTGGCACATTTTTCTGCCTGTTTAACAAATTAGTCAAATGTATCTTAGAAGAATAGCTACCTGATGAAATCTCCCCCAACGTAAAAGATATGGTGCTCTGGAGTCTGTCCTAGATTGGAGTCTGTTAAAGTCAGTTAAGTTTAACTCCAGTATGTGACATAATGAAATAAATCAGCCTTGGGTAAAAATGAGAACGAGTGGTGCATAACAAAAGGAAATGCTAAATAAAAATGTGTAGTGAGGTGCAAAATTACCACACATGTGCTTGTTCCAGAAACAAAATACAGAGGCTTCTTTTTATAGATTTGGAGGATTTCTATAATAAGATAAACAAGAAGTTCATGGGTGGGGCCTGTATAAATAATATCCTACTGATAGGAAAAATGACAGTATAAACAGGATATAATAACAGTGCCTGCTGAATTTCCCAGCATGTTATTTGTAGCTTCTTTCACAGAGTCACAGCTGCTCCCACCAAGAGTGGATTTTTACCCCTGTAAGAGATCGGGCAAGTTTCAAAATTCTCACTAACAATGGTAAGGTGGGGAGCATACATAGCCTTTGCTTTAGTAATAAACATGTAGGTTTCATATTCACTTTCAGGGTGAAACATTTTCTTGGATTGTGAGAATTCTTAAGACATGATTTTCTTCTTAGGTCACCTCTGGGGAAAATCAGGCTGGCAAAATAAGTGGGTAAATGGCAGTGCTTTAGTGTGTGCTTATCAGCTAAATAAATATCCTAATTAGATTCATGTCCTCTTAAAAAGTACATAAATAAAAGAAGAAAAACATAGTCATCTCTGAGTTTTAAGAAATTTATCCCAATTCTGTTTTCTTGAATGATAGTGGTATAATGGAAAAATGACCATTAAACTTTTGAATGCCAAAATTCTAGTCCTTCTGACAAATAGCCTTGTGATCCAGGGCAAATCACATAACTTCTCTGAACCTCAGTGTCTTTATTTATAAGATGTGGGGTTTGACCAAATGTTTTCCAAGTATCTTTTCTAGTTGTCAAACTCTATTCCCTTTTTAAACTGCTAAGTACATTTAACAAGTATGCATTTTACCCCTCCCTAGTGAGTCTTACTCTGCAAATGTAAGAGTTTGTATATAGAGAAGCTCTGAACCAGCTTTAGATATGTTTCGGCTGAATTCAGATCACTTTCCCTTTCTTCCTTATCTTTAAAATGAAGACTAGGGACTTCACTGGTGTCCAGTGGTTAAGACTCCATGCTTCCACTGCAGAGGGCATGGGTTCCGTCTCTGGTTGGGGAATTAGGGTCTCACATGCCATGTAGCATGGCCAAAAATCAAACAACCATAAAATAAAACGAAGGATAAAAGGACTACATATTTAGTTTAACTACAATAATTTCTTTATAAAGTTGTGTATATATTGATCCTCTCCCTAATTAGAGAACTTCAGACCTGACACTAAAAACCAACTAAAATGTCAATATACCTTTTTAAAAAAATGGACTTTATGTTTCATGGTAGTTGTAGATTCACAGCA